AGTAGTAGTAGCAGCAGCAACAGTAATAGTGGTAATAGTAGTAGTAGTACTTAAAACATGGATTGTATCTTTGAATGATTTGATTACATGTAGTTTGATGAAATGAAAGCATGAAACAGAAGAAGCTTTGGTGTGATTCTATAATACACTTTTGGCATCACAAAGTCAGTGTTAAAGGAGCAATTGGTCATGGATTTCATTTTCTATCAGTAAATGTGTTAGTGTATTAAATGACCATTTAGTAGATGGTGCACTAGTAGAGAAGCAAGCTTTTATGAATGTAAAGAACATAATATTGATTTGCAGAGATTGGGGAATTAATAGCAGGGGCGTTCTCCTGCCTTGGAATCAAGCCATCATTCAAAGGCCAGAGCAAAAACTAGAAATTATCAGAAGGCTTTTTAGAATCTATGGATCATAAATGTTGCACATTTGCATATGTTATTAAGAAGGGTTTTTAAAATTATATTATGTTGCAAGCTGCCCACCAGCTTGGGATGGCATACATATGTACGTATGTATGTGGTGGGCAGCCTGCAACATGATATAATTAAAAAATACAGCAATACATAAAGCATATAAAACAAACATCTGGAGAAAGAATGCCAATACTACACCCCACAAGGTATCCACCAACCATTCTAATCCAAGATCTAGGGGAAGATCCAGGTGTCAAGGGTTCATGTAAATAGAAATTTAAATGCTCAAGGCCACTATGATAACAATGGGGCACCATTTCAAAGAGCAGGTAGTACAACAGAGAAAGCCCACTTCCTGGCTCTTATCAAGTGCCTCTGTCTAATCAACGGGACTATGAAAGTGTGAAAACTAATAATATAAGATAGGCAGAAAATATGGTGACCGGTGTCCTTCCACTAACCCGTCTCAAGTCATAAAGAGTTTTATAGGTTACAACAAGCACTTTGAATTTCTAACTCCCAGTGAATTTGAGTGACTCTAAATCTAAATGAAGCCAAGTGACTTTATTCTCTGATGCCCAAATATTCCCATAGAAACTGTAAAGATGATCATGGGGATACTACTGGCAAACCAAAAGATGATCCATGAGAGATCTGAACATGGCAAAGAACCGATGATAATTTTCAGATGTGTCAGGGCAACAAGATTTTCAGCCAGCTTAGTCACACACCACACTTAGTCAGGAATTCTAGTAACAAGACCCAACACAATACATTTGGATACCTTTAATGCTGAAGAGGAGGAAAGGTGGCTCAGCTATTAAAAACGCTGAGTTTGTCAGTTTAAAAGGTTTTGACAACCAAGCGCTGTGAGACAGAGTGTTATTTGCCCCGTCTCCTGCCAAACCTAGCAGTTTGAAAGCATGCAAATGCAAGTAGATAAATAGGTACTACTTTGGTAGAAAGTAACAGCAGATTATTATATTATTTTATTATATGATTATTCTCTTTTGTTGTTTTATATTCCTGAAAGCAGCCTTGAGTCACCATGTGCAAATAGGTGGCAATATAAATGTCCATAAATAAATAAATTCCATATGCCTCAGCGTACAGTCATGCTGGACACCTGACCACAGAAATGTCTTCAGACAGTGCTGCTTCCCTCAGCTAAGAAATGGAGGTGAGCTCTGCCCCCTAGATTCAGACTTGACTGACAGGAAAAACCTTTACCTTTAATGCTGAAGATGATAAACATAGCAAAAGTTTTAAGACAAAAGCTTGCTTATTTATTTGTTTATTTCAGTACATTACATATGGAGGTCTTTTTTTAAAACCAAGGATTCCTAAAGAATGCAGAATATATGTTCTGTGTGTATGAGAAAAGATAGGTCAAGAGTGCAAAATAAAGGCATAAATATGATGGTCTTATATAAATATTATGGTCTTATGCAAATCCTTTTTTTGGATCTGAGTTTTTGCTCAGCAATGCATACAAGGGCGAATTTCAAAAATCAGCTGAAGCTATAGTTGCAAATTATTACCAGCAAGGATTATGGATGTGAACAGAGTTTGTTACATTTTTTTTGAGAAATACTGAAAAAGCAACTGGAAGAGTGAAGGTACAAATTATTGCAGACTGTACTGCTAAGAAGTATGAATGAATGTCTTTGAAGACTGGCTGTTGTTGTGGGGACATTATTTTTTTATTATTTTTATTATTTTTTTATTTATTTATATCCTGCATTTATTACTTTTACAAATAACTCAAGACAGCAAAACAGCCAACACATCCTTCTATTTTCACAACAACCACTCCGTGAGGTGAGTTGTGACTCGCCCGAAGTCACTCAGTGGCTTTCATGAATTAACTGATTAAATTCATGAACTAAATAATTCATGGGAAGAGATAACTGTTTTGCACTAACTGCCTTTGAATAAAATGTTAGGAGCCTGACATCTCTGACGACTTTGAGAAATACGATTCAGTGAGGTCTTCTTAGATACCTGTTTCTCTGTGAAAGAATTTAATTTTGCCTTTTTGCATTTTTCTTATCCTGGAAGTTAGGCAATTAATCCTAAAAATTGCTTTACTCTCCTTCCTAAGTACTGTCGTATGTCTTGCAACATGGAATAACTAAAGTAGCTAGCAAACCAAACAAATTTTAAAAGCTATATTTGAAACAAATGCTATATTGGGAACAGTAAATAGCTAATAAAAGTAGTGAGATGTTTATTATGTTTTTTTTTACTTTTAAAAAGTACTATTATGAAAATTGAGAATAATTAAATCTTTTCATTAATAAGCTGTGATAATGTGACATAACATAGAGCAGGAATGTTCCCGGTGTTGCATATAAATCCTCAAAGCCTTTGATATAGCTTCCTAAAGTCCTCTGTCAAACACAATTTTTAACACAACAGAATGAATTAAATATATGAGCAGCGATCATGCATTTGCTACATCTAAGTCATTTAGTACTCTCCCAAACTGTTAAATTCTTTGCCCTGACTCTGGTATTTTGTGGTATAGGTAGCCCTTAACTTATAACAGTTCATATACTGACTGTTCAAAGTTACAACAGCACTGAAAAAAGTGACTTATGACCATTTTTCACATTACGACTGTTGCAGCCTCCCCATGGTCATGATCAAAAGTCAGACTCTTGGCAAGAGGTTCATATTTATGACAGTTGCAGTTTCCCAGAGTCACGTGATCACCTTTTACAACCTTCTGACAAGCAAAGTCAGTGGGGAATCCAAATTCACTTAACAACTATGTTAACAAGTGCAATGATTCATTTAACAATGGTGGCAAGAAAAGTAAAATGGGACAAGCTCACTTAACAAATGTTTCACTTAGCAACAGAAATTTTGGGGTCAGTTGTGATCAGAACTCAATGACTGCCTGTGTATGTCCCTGACTGCATCACTAAAGGCCAAATCTAACCCTAAACAAAATTATGAATGAGCTATTTCAATAAAATGCTTAACAAAGTAAGCCTTAAGAAAGTCAACCTGGATTTCTATTTGAATGTGTTGACTGCAAACTGTACTCTCCAGAAAGGTCTGCTTACTTAAACTCTTATTTAAAACCTTTAAAAAATGCACCCAGAGAAACTGTCTTAAATTTTGCAGGAAAAGAAACTGACAATCACTAGTAAGGCTGAACTGTTGATTTCAAAGGCCGTCTTTGAAATCCCATCCCACACGTGGGATTGGGCTAGGTGGCTATGGTGGGCATAGCCGGGGATGGGTATGATCATGGTGGGCATGACATGGGACATGGGGGTGGGTATGGTCATGGTGGTCAAGTGCTAACTCAGGACTTCCCTGAGACCCTCTGTCACTCTCATTATAATCTCCTCCATCACTCTCATTATATATCTATTTGAATGTGAGATTGAATTAGATGCTGTTAGATGACCAAAACTTTCCAGAAGGAAATAATGACAAATTATTTGTGCACTGTTGTAAAAAAAAAAAAAAAGATTACATCAACTCCACATAGTTGTCAGGAGTTGTATTCAACCTAAAGCAGCCATTATTTTGTACTGAGATATACTAGATAAATTATATGCTCCTATTTGTAGTCAATCCATTTCTTTTCCAAGTCTTATTTTTTTATTTGATCCCCCCCCCACCCCCATCTTTATTTGGATTCATTGAATGAATGTTTGTGGACAGCATTGCCCAATTGTTGGCATATATGCTCCCATTTCCTATTTTCCCCAAGTAGCCCTGTGAGGTGGACAGTGGACTTATGTGAAATGTTGGAATGGCTGCAAAAGAGACAGCTGCCAGTCACAATATGGCCATTGTGGAAAACAAACTGGTGAGGATGTTTCCCAGTCATGCCCATCTTACTCAAGTCATGCCCTCAACCTCCCAGACAAATATCCTGCCAAACAAACCTGTGGGCAAGAACCAATCAGCAATTTTATTTTATTTTCTAAGAATATTTATGAAACCAATTTGGGGCTCAGAGACATCCTTGTAAATAAAGATATTCCTAAAGGCTTTGCCGTTTTGTGACAACTTTATATAGTAGTTGACTGTGATAAGAAATAACACAATAGATTTATCCATTTTTTTCCTATAAAAATATGTACTTCCCAGTGATTTGTTATAACTGAAAAAGAGGAACACCACTTACTTCCTAAAAACCTATGATCAGATTTCAAAGATACAATAAATATTCTTAGAAACACTAAAGAACAATATACACACAAGTACAACATTAAAAGGAACATTAAAAGTGATGGATGAATAAGTTTGATCATACAGGTTAGCAAAATGTACAAAGAAGCAGCTTGCTTTAACTTCAGAATTAATCCCACAGTGTATTTCCATTTGCTCTGTTTAATAATTCATGCAAATTACAATTGGTCCATAATCCAAGTCTGCAAGAAGTTTATAGCCATTCATCATGATTAGTGTAAAGACATAGAAATGGGAAGAGATAAAGAAACATTCAAAATTGCTGTCCAAATGTAATGCTAATGAAAGTTTGTATCGTAATAACTATTGTGATCATTCCAGATGCCTTCAAATATAATCAGAGGTACCTTTGCTTATTTCTAGGATCAATGGTTTTGGCGAGTCAGAAATAACAGGGTGATGGATGGATACCCCATGCAGATTACCTACTTCTGGAGGGGACTGCCCCCAAGCATTGATGCAGTTTATGAAAACAGTGATGGGAATTTTGTTTTCTTTAAAGGTAAATATAAAATAATGCTTTCATAAAAATTCTGCTAAGAGACTATTAAACTCTTTTCTTATCATCATTCTGAGTGGGAAGAAAGGCAGGCTATAAAGAAATATAAACATTTTTTTTTATTTAGTGAAAATATTATTAACTGAATAAATAAACATTGTCAGGAAGTACTTGTTTAGATCAAAATAAAACATCTCTCTTTGAATGATAGCCAAAGCTGCTTCAAGTTAAAAGACTATAGCTTAGAATTGTCTTATACATAGTTTATAGCAACAATAAATAACGTAGGAGCTGAAAGAGACTGAAGCAATGGCCCAAAGGAAGCAAATTAAAGACAGGTAAGTAGCCAAGATCGGTTTATTAAACCAAGGAAATACAGAATAGAATAGAATAGAATAGAATAGAATAGAATAGAATAGAATTTCTTTATTGGCGAAATGTGATTGGACACACAAGCAATTTTGGTGCATAAGCTCTCACTATACATAAGAAAAAATGAAATACATTCATCAAGAATCATAAAATAGAACACTTAGTAATAGTCATAGGTTACTATAAGCAATCAAATCATACGTATGTTGCTAATACACAATCAAAACATACTAGGAAAACAAAACAATATAAATTGTAAAGATACAAGCAACATGCAATAATAGTCATAATTGGGAAGAGATAGATAATAGGAAGGATGGGAAGAATAATGGTAATACAGTCTTACTAAGTAATTTGACAGTGTTGTGGGAGTTAGCTATTTAGCAGAGTGGTGGCATTCGGGGGAAAAAACTGTCCTTATGTCTAGTTGTTCTGGTGTGCAGTGCCCTATAGCATCATTCTGAGGATAGAAGTTGAAACAATTTATAATCCAAAACAATCCAAAATCCCAAACCAAGCCAAGGTTACAGGGAGAATATTTGGTTGGACAAGAGTGCCAAAGGGGATGCATGTCCCCAGAGGACTTCACAGTAGCTTTTGACAGCAAAAAACTGGGAGGTATGAACCAAAATGCCAAAATCAAGGTACTTCCCTAAAATCCCAGTGTTTTAAAATTTCCTAATTCTGTAAAACTTGTATCTTAGGTACTTACTCCACCTTGTACTTATACCTTCAATCTGAGATCTATATACTACTAAAGCTCTTGTTGCCATGACCTTTAACTAGGTACATCATAGGGCAACAATTTTCCAAAATACCTCTATGTAATGTACTTATTCTATTTAAAATTTCAATAAACATTTATACATTTCAGCGGTTGCACTAGTTTAGAAATGTACAGTATTTTAAATTCTTACAAGGTGGGAAACCATGATTTGAAACCATAAATTATCACGAATGAAGGTAAATATACATGTCCAAGATAATGTTGAAGGTTCTAATTTGAGTCGACCACCAGGACCAGAGGTCTATTCCTCCAAGCTTTTGGACTAGTGTTGGAGCCCATCCTCTGGGAAATTCTCTCTCTCTCTCTCTCTCTCTCTCTCTCTCTCTCTCTCTCTCTCTCCCTCCCTCCCTCCCTCCCTCCCTCCCTCCCTCCCTCTCTCTCCAGATCGTGTTTTTTTTTTCTATACTGTTATGCTGTGTGATAACCCAGGAAGCCTTAAAAACAAAACACCAACAAAGTATTGCAAGATTTTAGTAATCTGACTGCATGATTTCATGAGAAAACTGACATCTCTTAAGAACTCAGCATTTGCATGTCGATATTTTCATTCAAAAGATGTCTCACAATTATGGCATTCTAGTTCAAAATTAAATACAAGTTTGATGAAATTTATTTATTTATTCATTTGATTTGTCAATTGCTTACAAAATAATAGGTATAAGTATAAACATGAAAAAGAATACAGAAAATATGTACAATTAAATGGGGACAATAGGACAGGGTAGGAGGCACAATGGTGCACTTATGCATGCCCCCTTACAGACCTTTTAGGAATGAGGTCTGGGTGAGGTCAATAGTAGATAGTTTGAGGTTAAAGGAGTGGGGGTTTGAAGATGTAACTACAGAGTCAGGTTGTACATTCCAGGCATTGACCATTAAGTTACTGAAGTCATACTTTCTGCAATCAAGTTTGGAGTGGTTAACATTGAGTTTCTTTTTGTTGTGCGCTCTTGTATTGTTGCAGTTGAAGCTGAAGTAGTCATTGACTGGTAGGACATAGTAACAGATAATTTTGTGTACTATGTTTAAGTCCAACTGTAGGCGGTGTAGTTCAAGATTGTCCAAGGCCAAAATTTCAAGTCTGGTGATATAGGGTATTCTGTTGCGAGCAGAGGAGTGTAATACTCTTCTCGTGAAATACTTCTGGACTCGCTCAATTGTATTAATGTCTGATATACAGTGCAGAATCAAGACAGATGAGCTATATTCAAGTATTGGTCTAGCAAAGGTTTTGCATGCCCCAGTTAGCAATTTAATATTTCCAAAGGAGAAGCTTCGTAAGATTAGATTTACAACTCTTAATGCCTTTTTGGCAATGCTGTTACAGTGAGCTCTGGTGCTTAGGTCATTAGATATGAGTACTCCTAGGTCCTTGACAGAGTGAGGGTCATCAATGAGGTCATATCCGCCTAGTTTGTATTTGGTATATGATTTTTTTTACCAATGTGTAGGACAGAGCATTTGTTGGTCAAGATTTGGAGTTGCCATTTGTTTGACCATTCAGATACATAATCAAGGTCACTTTGAAGAGCAGTAGCATTGTTGGTGGTGTTGAATAGTTTTACATCATCCGCGAAGAGGATGCAGTTGCTTATAAGGTGATCGCAAAGGTCATTTATATAGAGTATAAAGAGTGTGGGTCCTAGAATGCTGCCTTGGGGGACACCGCTGTTAACTGGAGCAGGGTTTGATATAGCGCTCCCTATTTTTACTATTTGTTGCCTGTTTGACAGGAATGCAGTAATCCACTTATGATGAGATCCGGAAATGCCGTAAGAGTTTAGTTTTAACAGTAGTTTGTCATGTATCACTGAATCAAAGGCTTTGCAGAAGTCTCTGTAAATTGCATCTATTGCTTTACCCTGGTTGAGTAGCGTAGTCCATATGTTTTTGCAGTGTAGGAGTTGTAGGTTGCAGGACAATTTTTTTCCTGAAACCAAATTGTTTTTTGGAAAGTAGGTTGTTTGACTCTAAGTGGAGGGTGATGAATTGGTTAATGCTTGATTCCATGACTTTGCACATGACACAACACAGTGAGATCGGTCTGTAGTTTTCAACTAGGCTGGGGTCACCTTTTTTGAAGATAGAGATGACTGTAGCTAAGGACCATAGGTTCTTAGGAGCTGGTTCTGAATGATATATATAATGCTTAGGGGTTCTGCTATGGCAGAGGAAAGCTTTTTTAAGAAATATACACATAATCCATCGGGGCCAATAGATAGGATGGTTTTAGATTACTTAATGCCTTTTCTATGTTATCATCTGTAAAGTCAATATGTAGTAGATCATTGCAGTTACTTGTGGTACGACTAGGAAATCTGTGGCATTTTATGCATTTATGAAATATTGTGCATTTAAAAAATAAAACAAAATGTTGGGAGATAATAGCTAAGTTGAATATAAAAATAAACAAATAATTTGAAAATTATTTGAAAAAATAGTAATAATATAATTAATAATAATAATAATAATAATAATAATAAACCTTGAAAAAATTTTAGCCACAAATTTCGATGCATGCACTGTGTGTTTGAACCAAGGTTTTAATGCATGAAAGGGGAAAAAAAATAAGGTTTCCTTTATCCAAATACATACATACATACATACATACATACATACAGTTGTGCTTTTAAAGTTGTAACAACGTTTCAGCAGAATCTCATCTCATCATGAAACCTAGCTTCCTAATAAACAATAGCTGACCGTTCACTCGAAGCCAAGCTGCACTAAAAGTCCCCAATACAGGAAACACTATGTTGCCAGCCAATCAAGACAAAAAAAAAATGCTACAAAACAGACAGAAGATATTAGAAACACCAATCAAGCAGAACACAGCAAACTCCAAGACCAATAAACACAGACCAAGACTCTCAACCAATCAGGATGAAGAAAAAAACATTCTAACACAGCACGAGGCTAGCACCAAATTTAAAGCAGAAATGGCTGTGAAAGCCTGACTCACAGACGAACACAATACAGAAGCCTGATGATGGCAGAAGAGATTCTGCCGAAACGTCGCTACAACTTTAAAAGCACAACTATAATGATGTGGGAAAATACCCGAACAAAGCTGAATACCATATATATAAATACCCGCAAAAATCCATAGAGTTTAAATTATTCGTATTTATTATTTCTAAGACACAAGGGGTATCTACTTGGTGAACTCTAAATAAGTAAATTTAGTTTTGCTTATTTCTGGTAAAATAATGCCAAGAAGTCAACATTTCAAATCAGGACAGAGAAATCTTGCAAGTTAGGCAAAGTTCAGAAGATTTCTTATTCCTAAGATTTCATGTTCTGACATATTGACATTTTGTAACATCCTAGCCATTAATAAAAGTTTTTAAAGTGGTTTTGCTGCAACTACATTTGCCATAAAGATACACTTCCAATTTCTATTATAATCCTTTGACTTTATTGATTTATGAAATCTGAGCAGTGATAATAATTGCAATTTTTTAATTGGACTATAGTAATGTACTTTATATCATGTGTCTGATTTCAGAAATTACTGTAGTTAGTTCAATATGTAGTAGCTAACTTTCATCCATGTACAATATCCAAGATATTTTAGGGGACAAAATTATGACCCCTTAAAACTATTTGATGAACTTTATTCCTCCCATCTGAAAGAACCCAACAAATGTCAGTTACTTTTCCAAAGTTTAGCAAAGGTGAGAAGCAGGGGTCATATGCCACCTCATCTCCCTGCTATTTCATATGCCATCTCCATTTTAATCAGAATTAGTTATTTTGGGCATTAGTTATTTCTCTTGCTTTTCGTGTAATCTGTGTTCCATAGTTATTTATCTGCCATTACCAATTCAGGTGGGAAATGAAGTATTAACAATGTTCCTGTTCTCATGCAAATTTCCTTCATAATTAAAAATTTCATAAAGACTAAAATATGGCATGTGCAACAAAGTTTTTTGTATGCCTCTCCCCACCCTCAGTTTTTCACCAGGCATCAGCTGTTGCCTAAAATTAAAACTTTAAATATGCATCTAATTTGAGTTTAATGTTAAAATTATACATTCTACTGAATAAGTACTAGTTTATCATTACAACCTGTTCACTGAGATTGAAAACCCATGTAGAATATAATTATTCATAAAGTATTTGTTAAATAAGGTACATTTATAGCAACACAATAGAGGATTAGGATCTCAACTTTAACTGTTATAATGAGTGGCTCATTGTAGCTTAAAGGTTGATTAAGACAGCATGTTGGATGGTACTGGAGTCTCTTGACAGTTGTACTGCTCTGGCTACCTTTGAATTTCTCCTCACCCCCTAACTTGAAGGCTTCTAATTCCAAGAATGTCTTCAAATAGTAAGTAGTGCAGCTTTGAGAAACTTCTTTTTATTCTATTTGCTTAATAAATAGTTAACATGGTAAGGTACCGCTTTCCAAACTAATTATGGGAAGGGGTGTCACTGAAGGGTGCCATGAACACAAAATGCTGAGAATTCTGACATATTCTAGAAAAACAGAAAAAAGCTAAAAGCGTACCACATTTAATTACTGTTTCAGTGTGTTTAAGTCTAATGAATTTCATTTGGTGATTACCACCTCTATACAATCAATTTTATGAAATTTGAAATCTTTTCATAACAGTGCTGCCTGTAACATCTTGCTCAGACCCTTATCATTTATATTTGTTTTTTGTATTAGAGCAGGGTGTCAAATTCAAGGTTGGTGTGCTTAGACCTGGTCCATGAGGCTTACCTGGAAACAGCTAAGAACTAGCCTGCAGTGCCTCTGCCAGTGAAAATGGAGCTTGTGAGGGTCATGCGCAGACCTCATAAGCTCTGTTTTCACTGGCAGAATGCTAACAAAACAAACTAGTAGCAAAAGTGGCATTTGATCACACAAGTGATATCGAGCTGGCCCACCCTGACCCGAGGTCAAACACAACCCTGATGCAGCCCTCAATGAAATCGAGTTTGACATCCATGTATTAGGGATTCTTCTAAGATGCTGTCTTGATTTGATCATCCCCTTTCCCCCCTCCACTATCAAATATTAATATGTAACTACTTAAAATTAGAAAGGAATGCTTCAATTTATTTCTTGCCTCCAAGCAATTAAGGAAGTGACCCAAAGGTGAGTTTCCCAAAAGGCAACTGGACTTTCTTGATTTTTTTCTTTGAAAATGTTTAGCTTCTCATCCAAGAAACTGTTTCGGTTCTAACTGACTGGTGTGGAATGGAAGGGTTTACATTCTTTGAAGTATAAACAGTGTAAATCCTTCCCAACCGGTCAGTTAGAAGAAGAAGAAGCTTTTTTGATAGAATAGACGGAAGACTTAGACTTAGAATAACTTTATTGTCACTTTGAATGTAATCGGCATACATTAAAATGAAATTTCATTGAAAGAGGAGTTGAATTCATTGACCGCATGTCTCAGTATTATACCGTGTTTCTCCAAATATGCCCCCCCAATAGGAGGACCCAGCATGTTTTCTAGGGATAAAATGAAATTAAACCCCTCTCCCCAAATTTAGGCCTATTTTAAAACATGCAAAATTGGGGGAGGAGGCGGGGGGTACTTGCCATTAGAAGCGATCCATGGGCAGCTATGCCTCGCCATCAGCTGATCCTAACGGCCAACCATGGTGGAGCGCAGAGGGCTCCCTACCCCCACCAAGCACCTTTGCTGCAGACCTGGGTCAGCAGGTGGGCAGCGTCAGCGTGGATGTCCACCAGCAGCGTTTCAGCCACTTCTCAGGCATATGTAGCTTCCATGGTTCCCACCGGTGCTGGCACCTCTCTCGCCAGCGCTGTCTCCAACAACAACATCTGAGTCACTCCCGCTTTCCCCCCATCCCTGTAACAACAGGAAAAACAAACATTTTGAGGTACCTGGGAGTGCCACGTGCTGTGTTTTGGTTTAATCCTGAGCAGCTGGGTGGGCGTGAGAAGAGCCAAGTGAGCTTCTCTGCTGCTTCTACCCTTGGTGCTCCAGCCGTCTCCAACAACAGCGGCAGCAGCGGCGGGAACCATGGAAGCGTTTCAGCCACTTCTCAGGTGGGGGAGCCACCTCTGTAACTTCCACAGTTCCCGCCGCTGCTGCTGCTGATGTTGGAGACGGTGCTGGTGAGAGAGGGACAGCTGCAGCTTGGCCTGGGCACACTTGGAATGCAGGAATGGGCTGCGCACTGGGACTTTGGGAAACTTGCAGAACCCAAAGCTGAAGCACCAAGGGTAGCAACAGCAGAGATGCTCACTCAGATCTTCTCATGCCCACCCAGCCGCTCAGGATTAAACCAAAACGCAGTGCGCGGCACTCCCAGGTACCTCAAAATGTTTTTTTTTTCCTGTTGTTACGGGGACAAGGGAAAAGCGAGAGCGACTCAGATGCTGTTGTTGGAGACGGCGCTGGCAAGAGAGGCGCCAGCACCAGCAGGAACCGTGGAAGCTATGGAGGCCTGAAAAGCAGCTGAAACGCTGACGGTGAATATCCCCGCCACCTGCCCACTGAACCAGGTCTGCAGCAAAAGCACTTGGCGGGGATAGGGAGCCCTCCACACTCCACCATGATTAGCCATTAGGAGTGGCTGGTGGTGAGGCATAGCTGCCCGTGGGGCTCCCTAGGCGAGGGTGCACAGGGGGAAAAGAAATTAATTCACCCCCAAAAAGACATCCTAGCCATTTTTTCGGGGCTCAAAAAAAAAATAAGACCCGGCCTTATTATATGAGAAATACGGTAGGAATAGGAGATAGTGCTATATAATTTATTTCATTTTTCCCCTTTCTCTTTTCTTTCAGTTTGCCAGAAAACCAATACAAACTATGTGCTAGGATGCTCCCTAGAAAATAGGTGGTACAGGCAAATACCAAGGCAAGAAGCAAAACTGATAGGTAGCTCCAGAGGATTTCTAAAAGAGAAGGGTCTAGACTATTACCTTTTATGCTGTGAATATAGCCTTGATACCAAAGAGCTGTTTCAAGATTCTGAGTCCAAAACAAGTGTGCTTTGAGAGTTTGTTTTGTTTGTTCTGACAGAACACCCTTAGCTCAGAATATTCCAATTTATGAAGAGGAATTGTTTTGTTCCAAGCTGAAAACAAAACACATTTGCTCTTTGATGTATCCCCCTCATTCATGCCATGTATAATTGGTTTGGCTTGGCTTTCTCTGGGGAGCACTTGGAGACCTTTCAAGGAAATTTAGCAGTAGATGTGATCTTCCGTTTTCAGACTTTTTAAGAAAATCAGGATGCTTTCAGTTCCACATGTTTAATTTTTGTGGAAATGTCTTTGCTATTTTGAGGACCTATTCCAGCCTTCAAAAAGATGTCATACATACATAAGTAATAAGAGTTTTCCCTTTTTTCATTTTTAGGAAAAGGG